TCCAGACCTTCTATGCATAGGGCATAGGTCCATCCTTGTACCGCGGGCAGCTGAGAAGCGAAGCGTTTTAAAGCGTCGTTGTCCTCTCCTCTCTCTCTACTTGGGCGTGGGCTTGCTTGCCTCCTTTAACTCTCTGTGGTGGCGATTCGCTGGCATATATATATATATATACATACACATACACACACATATATATATATATATATATACATCCATCTATCCCTTTCGCTTCGCACTTTTAAAAATCCGCGCCCTGCATCCCTTTGCTTTCCTTTCCTTTCCCCCTTTTTTTTGTGTGTGTGTTTCGTTTTGTTTTTTTTTGGGAGGGGGGGATCGACACCGCGATCTCATATCGCACACACCCGCTCTTTCTCGCGAACTGAACTGAAGTCTGAGCTGCAGAAGGTTACTTACTGATCTGGGGCGCGCTCGCTTGCTTAGCAGTGGGTGACTTATACGTATGCATACTTGCATAGTTGCATAGTTGCATAGTTGCATAGTTGCATAGTTGCATAGTTGCTGGATTTGTTTGATGTGGGGTGGAGGGGTGGAGGGTTTGGGGTGGTGGTGATGGGAGGGAAGTGATGGGAGGGAAGTGGGGGGGATAGAAGAGGAAGAGGGTAGAAGAAGATAAAGGAGAAAAAAAAAAAAGAAAGAAGGAGGTATACTAGACGCCCGGATGAGAGGGGGTAGTCTTTACCAAAGGAATTTTCTCGATTGGGTAGATGAATGTATGGATGTATGGATGTATGGATGTATGGATGTATGGATGTGTGTCAGTAGACCGACCACCCCTCAACAGCGAATGCAGAGAGTTAGTTAGTTAATGACCGTCTATCTCTTGTCCTTGGAAATGATCGCCTTTCCCCCCCCCCCTTCTATTTCTTTCTTTCTACGCTATGAAAGGAAAGGAAAGGAAAAGGAAAGGGAAAGGGTTTTCTTACCGGTACGCGAGTGATGTACTCACTCGATGGGAAAGGGCTTTGATGTTTGATTAGGTATGCGCATTTGCAATTGTGTGGGTTTGGGTTTGGGCTAGCTTTTGGGGGGGGGAGAGGGGGGAGGGAAGGGGGAGGGAAGGGGGCATACAGTTGGTACTTGGAGAGCTTTTTTTGACTTGAGTACTGGTAGGTAGGTAGGTAGGCGCTGAGTTGGTGGGTGGGTGAGTGGCTGGCTGGCTGCGTTGGGCTGAGGAGGGCTACTGTAGGTATTGCTATGGATGGATTGAATGGATGGATGGATTGGATGCTCGAGGGGTAGATAGATAGCTGGCTGCATTGGGCTGAGAAGAGCGATTGTTATTATAGATTAGGTATGTGAAGCGGTAGCTAGGTACGAATATTACTGTAGGTAAGGTACGTACATTGCGAAGTCCGGAAGCTTTATTCCGGCGCTTGGGCTTGCGGAGGGCTGCCTGGGAATAGACCTCGTTGTTGTTGTCGTTATTATTGCGGCGATTGTATCTGTCCACGTCGGGCCGCTGGCCAAAGCTTACCTAGGTAGGACCTCTGATAGGGTACGGTATTGCGATGTGCCAAGTAGAGGAACTGTTATCACCAACCAACAGTGAGCGAGTGGCCCAAGATAAGTTCGAGGAGGTGTGATGATGGCTAGGTAGTCGTCCAGTCACGTGGGCATGGTTTGTATACCGCTTTCAGCCAGGCTTGTTCCGGTGCTAGAAGTACCTTGAAGAGGAATGCAGGAGCTTTTGCTGGTAGACGGTTAGCGGATCGGCTGACTGTCATCTCTTTTAAGGTCGATCCTAGGTAATAGATTAGCGTAGCTGGTGGATCGATCACCTTTAGCCGGTACTTGAAATTAAGTAGAATTTGAAGAAAAAAAAGAAAAAAAAAGGATTTAAATTATTTAAATCGTAGCTAAGATAAAATCATTTTCATTGATTAGACCGTCTTTAATAAGAGCTCGTCTTTTCGTTAAGAGATTACTATTAAAGTAAGACTGTTTTGATCGATAGGATCGTCGTTTATAAAAGTCGGGTGTTTTTTTTTTTTTTTTTTTTTTACGAAAAGATCGTTTCCGAGCGTTTTAAGACCGTTTTAAAACCGTCCTGTAGCCCTCTTAAGGCCGTCCTCGAACTTAAAACCGTCCTGGAGAACTTGTTACGGCTGTCGAAGGCAGTATTGTATTGCTGCCTTAAGAGTATGCTCTGTAGTGAGAAAGAAAGACGAAGAGAGGAAGAGAGAAGCAGGTACAGGAGAAGAGGTCTTATAGGCAGGCCTGCCAAGACGGGAACCGGAGGTCACGAGGTAACGTGTCACCCATACGCGTGTCCCGGGTACGTATCCCAGGGACGTGTCCCAGGTCTCGTGACCTGCCTTACGAAGTAGGCGCCGCTACTACCGTGACAGAACTTAGTTTAATGTGTAAATAATAAAATATGCTTTTCAGCTCCCTTTCCTTGTTATTACCTGCTTATTACCCTTTAATAGACGAGAGAAGTGCATGCATGAGCGCAAGCGAACTTTTGTTAAATCGATCGATTTCGATTATAAAAAATTCAAAGTGTTGATATATAAGCCGTGGTAGCGATACCGAGAAGTATCTTGGCATATATTTTATTAAATTATTAGTAAAAATATTTTATTTAAAAAAAGAGTTTTTATTTACAATTTTTTCTAAAAAAAAAGAAATTTGTCGAGCTGAATGTCCATCTTTGACGGTGCATACTCGGCGCAGCCAGGTCGGTATTTTTTTTACAACAATACTCAAGGCAACCGAAGATTAAGTATAGAGTACCAAGAAAATGGTTTAAGAAGCTTTTAGATCTTACAAACAGTTTAAAATAATACTAAAAGGATCGTCCATAATTAGGCGAAAAAAAAATGAGTCAAGTCTGAATTCGTAAAAAAAAATTTTGGGCGCGTTCAACATACAAGTGCCAGAGGTAGCTTTACTACAAGGAAACGCGACGAAATCGGTGGCTATTCTTTTCTCTCTTTGGCGTTTTTTTGGTTTAACTGCGCCGAAACTTCGACTACTTTCTTGAATGCACTTGAGCATCAAGCCTACAAACTCCGAGTGGTCTCTGGGGCCACACGGAGCGGATGTGTCATTCATTGTCAGGCATCACATATAAGATCCGAGATCATCCGATGCCCTTTTGATACCCTCAGTCCAAGTCTCCAGCAAAATATCTACCGTCTCCCGATTCGACGCATCAAGCCTCCAAATCACAAAGATACAATCATGGACAAAAACAACAACAACCCACACTTCCGTGTAACGGCCGAGCGTCTACTCCAACAAGCAACGACCCCTTGGATATCGAGAAAGCCGCAGCATCGAGGAGGATGGAGATTATCTTGGCCGAGAGCATCGAAAAGATCTGGCAGCAGGATCAGGATAGCGTGGCTAGAGTTAACCAGGGCAGAGCGAGAGCTATGTGTGAGACGCAGAACTTGGCGAGTGAAAGTGTGGCAAAACTCAACAATCAGGGTTTCGAAACTATGGAACGAGCCAAGCGGGAGGACAGAGAGAGCGAGGCTAGGGTATTGAGATTGAATGGGGAGAGTAAGGCACGAATTGCGAGAGAGAATGGAGAGAGCAAGGCCAGGATCTCGAACGAGACTAAGGAGAGCGCAGCGCGGATTGAAGCTATCCAGGAGGCCTCAGAATCAAGACGTCCCCACGAGAAGACTAAACCCGACTCTTGATTACTCGCTGGGAAGAGGGATAGGAAAGGTCGTGGAGGCCTCTTCTACGCGTACTGTAGAAGGCCGCTCAGATCAGACCTGAAAACACTTTTTGATCTCCTGCTCGGCAACGAGATACCCCTTGCAGCACTCAGCGTAAACTTTTCCGTCCATCTCGAGCTGCTCCCAGCAAAACTCCAGGCCTTCCAGCTCGCGTCGGGCGATGGCCTGTAACGTGACCTGGTCCTGTGCCGATAGCAAAGGCAACTGTGACCTCGCAATCACGGCGTGCATCTTAGCAAACGCTGTTGCCATCCCAATAAGCTGTCCCTCGTACTCCACCGGGCGCATCGAAATCTGCAACATTTGTACCGCAAACTCGGACGGCCAGGCTTGGAGGACATGCTTGAGCGAAGGCAGCGCAGCGAGTGAAGGACCATGTTGCGCCATCATGCTCATCCCGATTCCTGCCAGCCCCAGGCTGTTGGGACGCCGGACTTCACACATGCCTCCCACGCACTGTTGCTCAATATCAAATCCGCCTTGAGCACGCAGGACCTTGACGATACTGCAGGCGACCTGGTTCTTGGTTCGGAAAGGGACGGAGACGAAACTCTGAAGCAGGCAAGGGTGGGCAAGCCAGACTGGGAGGAAGTTCTCGAAGATCGGACGATTGCTGATGTCCAACGGTGGAATGGTCTGGTACGAGAAGACGTCCGTGGCCGTCGAGGCCGAAAGCATCTTCCGCAATCCTGGACTCGGCAAATTTTGGAGTGTCGGGTAGCCGGAAAGAATGCCGTTGCCCTCTTCGATGCCTTGGTTCGATTCGGAGCTGTCCAAGACTGAAAAGACGTTGGAAAGGCCATCGACCCATTCCCTTAATACATCGAACTCGTATTGGGTGAAAGAGCCGAACATCCTCCCGTTCCACTGCAGCTCTTGAATGAAGCGGCTTTTGCTGCTGTCACCCCTTCGAATCCAATATCTGTTGTGGCTCAAGGCATCGAGCAAATCTCTCTGCCAATGCGTCGACTCCAGTGCTACCGGGTTCAACCAGTCGGCTACGCTGCGCGCGCCGATCCTGACTCTGCTGCTGCAGTGAATCCCATGCACAACCTGTGCCTTGGCCTTGAAGATTCTCATGACCTCCGTCTCAACAGGATTCATGACCACCTGCATTTCGGAACTGCCAATCTCAAGCGATTTCCTTCGGGATGGGCTCACTACACTGCCGGGCAACCTCTGGGAGAGGAGATATCCCGCTTGGACCTTCTTCCATGCCTTTTGCACCCCCTCTTCCCCTTCGACCCTGCGTACGTAGTCCATGTATTCGCAGACCACCTCCATCGCAATGGCCGTGTGTCCCGAGTCGGCATTATCAATGGAGATGTGGAGGATGAAATAGTACGGATCGATGCCGACCTCCTTCAACTCCTTCCCTGCCTTCAGCGTGTCCATCGAGACCGCTTCGAAGTGGAGGTTGAAGCCGAGTATCTCGGGGAGGAACTCGTGCGGGAACAGCGAGATGAGCAGCTGCGCGATGGCCGCTCTCCACACCGACACCTCGTCGAGCTGATGCCGCGGGTGACCGAAGTCCAGCTCTGCTGCCGTTGGGAAGCCGGGCGCGACCGAGTCTATCAGCTTGTGGAAGACGTGGACGTGGTTCTTCTCCAGGTCGCCATCTCCCAGCTCCTCAGACAAGATCTGCCAGCCGCCTTTGATCGTTTTCTGTAAGCCGAAGGGGAGAGTCACCTTGCCGATGTGGCCCAGCCACGCCCCGTCCACGTATTTGACGGGTGCAAGTTGCCTCAGCCACCACACGGCCTCGTCCCTGTCCTGGAACAACTCCCGCTGTCCCCCCTCCTTCCGTCGCGCGTTGTACGCCTGCCAGTCGTTACCGATCCTGGTGTTTAGTCGGTGTTGGAACTGCTCCAGAGCCGGCCGCGAAAAGGAGTGGACGTGGAGGATGCTCTCAGCCCCAGACCGCGCGTGAGCTGCCGCTGCTGCTGCTGCTGCCGCCGTCGTCGTTTCCTTCAGCAGGGCGAGCAGCAGTCTCCTCGCTCGGGGAAGTACCTCAGGGAAGCTCTCCAGGCTGTGAAGCTGGTAATAGAGCTGCTTGAGCGCCCTGAGCTCGTCGGCCTCGAAGAGTTCCTCGCCTTCTCTCCTCCGCGTCTCGCGCACCTGATGCTTTTCCTCGCTAGTGATCTTCCGACTCTTCTCAAGGGGGGCGGCGCTTGTATTTCCGCCACTATCGACTTTGCGACGTCGACTCATCCGCCGCCGGATGAGGAATATAGTGACAGTGACAATCGAAGCGAATCCCAAGAAGAGAGACTCCATCATCGTGTGCGTGTGCTGGCAGAAAAATGAGGAGTTGGGGGCTCGATACGGGGGATGGTTCTGGTGGACAGAGTTGCCTGGGAATATCACTGCTTGGAAACCATCATGGGGAAGTTCTGGAATGCGGTAAAAAAACAAAATTAACGGGCTCCTACGATCAGGATCAGCAGAGAAATTTCCAACGCTGTGGGCAGCGTGGCATGTTCTCCCTACCTGAATGCCTCGGGGAGCCAAGCACCTTTGATTTGTATTACATGATGCCACTGTCACAGGCAAAATATCTCTCTCTACCCCAACTTCACTTTTCTAAAGCTCAAAATGATGTATCACATCCGAAGCCCAGTTACCCTTTATTTGGAATAGTAATTCATCATTGATGGACCGATATCAGGCGGGCATTTTCTCCGCCAAACACGATTTGTTTACTTTACTCTTCGCTTATTCCAGGCTAACGAAATCTCACCCTGTGCTCGCTATAAGAGATCGGCCGGTAACCCGAGACCAAATAAATCAATTCAATTTGTCTCAGACCACTGCTCAAGTAGTGCAGTCTCCGGTCTCAAGAAGTAGCTGAGGTAGTACCGGTTCTTGACGCCACCGAAAGGTTGTGCCACCCCGTGCTTCGGCGAGAGGAATTTCCCACTGGACAGCCTCTGCAGCGAGTCCGCCACATTGACGAGCGCGCACCCCTCTGTGGGGGCCGCAAACGCCCACCCATTGGCGTCCTGGAGAAATGCGCGGATGCTCAAGTCGTGGTGGAACAGCAACGTAATGCTTCCACCATCCGTGTGTACCCCGCCCTCGGGATCAGGCGGGCTGGCCAAAGAGGGGAGCAAGACCATCTTGAGGCCTGTGTCGCTGGGCTGGTCCGCGCGGTGGTGTTTCACGACGACGTCTGCAGAAAGGCTGTTGAGCAGCATCATGCACGCCTCGTCGCAACCCGTGCTGAAGGCGCTGATCTTCTCCCATTGATCTCGGAAGAGCTTGGGTGGACACGGTATGGTCGTCGTCGTCTTCGTGTCTCGAGATACCAGCTCGTCCCGCGATATCTGGGTGCGCTGGGTTAGCTAAACTGTAGGAGATCACACCTCCCGTTATTCGAAGCTCTCGGGGGCGCGCGGCTCTCACCTCGAACGATTCCCCCCCCTTCAGCGCCTTCCACCCCAGATCTTGGGACGCCCTGATGTCGTGCCTGATATCCTCGGCCTTGGCCTCCGCGGACTGGGAAAAGTACTTCTCCTCTACTGCAAACACGTCCGGGAGATGCGCGAGCACACGCTCGCCCTCGGCATCTCCGCGTAGGTCCAAAAGGAAGATGCCGCGCTGGGAGGTAGCTTGCACCAGGTGCGCCCGCTCAGCTGGGTCCTGGGCGCGGAGTTTAGCGAGTGAGATGGTCGAGAGATTGGCTACGGGAATGTCGTGGTCCGCAAAGCTGATGGCGGACTCGGAAGTCGTGGCCGCCATGTCCATCGTTCGTAATGGCGGGCGCAAAAAGAGGTCTCAAATTTCGCATCGGCTTCTGTTGTGCCCGTCTCTCTAGTGTCTGGAAAGATTCGGGACGAGCTGCTTTTGTAAGTAAGTCTATCGATCGAAAACGCCACAGAGGTCCCCTGGGTCAGCTTGACAGGGAACCTCTCTCTGGCGAGCGTGCACTACGCTAGGCGGCTATTGGGATTTCGTACTGTTATGCAAGTCATTCTCGTCTAAGTGTGACCAGTCTGGTGGGCAATCTGGTGGAGGAACAGAGAAGTGACCAGATCTCCGGACACCGTCTCTACCCCAGATGCAGGGAAAATACAGTGAATTTCGGCCCTTCTCTTGAAAAGAGCAATTGAACTATGAGTAAAAGAGAAATGGGATTTCAAATCGGAAAGCTCGATCTACGAGATCTCAAATTGCCATATCTATCTTATGAGACATGTCTCACACCAGACCAAGCTACTTGGGAGCGGAGCAAGTAAGCGAGGATGGATTTCAACACTGACGTTCTTCCTAATGCAAGTCTCCGATGCCTCCTACCGGTCATATAGACAATGATAGCTGCTATACACCCTCTCTGCGGTGATCCTGCTCTTTGGTATCTCAAGATTATGGCTCTAGACGAGAGAACACGTCTGCTGGCACAGCAGTCGCCCACCCGGTCCGCCCCGTACCCGGAATGGAACGGCAAGGCCGCCGAGCCGGAAGAGGCTCCGAGCCGGTTCGGCCTCTGGCAGATTGGGGCCCTCTTCGGTCAGTCACGACTCCGGGGTTTGAGGACGGGGGATGGGGGAAAGGCTAATTGGTATGTGTGTGTGGTATAGGCATCATGCTGGCATATGCGAATACGTCTCTGGTATGGGCGACCCACGAGACGGTCGCGTCGCGCTTCGATACCTTGCGGAGCTCGTCGTGGATGATGACCAGCTTCACCATTGGCTACTGCGTCACTCTCCCTCTGGTGGGCGTTGTGTTTTTCTCTCTCTTCCAGTTTCGGTCCCAGATCGACTTTCGCCGTGGATCAACAACAATGGCTCGGCTAATTCGATGTATGTCAACAAATAGTACGGGCGGTTAAGCGACAACTATGGCCGCCTGCGGCCCCTCATTGCATCCTATTCTATCTTTTCCTTTGGCTGCACTCTCTGGTACGTTATGCTCACGGGGGAACGTATGTAGACTTACTTATCCGTACATATATAGTGGGGTCGGTCAAACGTACTGGCAGGTGGTCCTCGGCAGAATCATCACTGGCTGTGGTGCTTCGGGCATCATCTCTCTGGCCTCGATAGTCATCACAGGTAAAGCCATTCTCCCCCTTCTCCCTGCTTTACCGGCAACATCCATACCGCGAGGATTTTCGCCGCACGCTAATGGAACCGTCGGTAGACATTGCCCCGCCCTCCGACGTCGCTGTGTTGCGGAGTTATGTCAATGTCGCTTCATCAATCGGACTGGCCTCCGGTGGTCCCGTGGGAGGCTTGCTTGTAGGAACCTTCGGCTGGAGATGGTAAATTAGCAATCGCATAAAATATGGCGGAAAGAGCCCATGCTGATGTATGTGTATAGGTCCTTCCTGGGCCAGGTTCCGATCGTCGCTATCTGCTGTTTATTGACTGCACGAGGCCTCCAAAAATATCTGCCGCATGTTAAAGAAGAAGAAGAAGAGGAGGAGGAGGAGGAGTATGAAGAGGAGGAGCGGGATTCAATCAACTCGGAAGCGGCAATGAAGTCACCAACGATGTCGTTCGATTACCCTGGGGCTATATTCCTGGCAATCGGCATGGCATCGTTCCTGACCGTCATAGATCTGCAGAGTCAGCTCTCTTGGGGTCATCCGGTTATCATCGGCACCACATCTCTCTGCGTGCTGTCCGTCTTAGCCTTTTTTGCATTTGAGACGTGGCCGGGCAACCGCGAGCTCTTGATCCCCTTGCGGCTGTTGAAGACGGGCGTTGGCGCTTACTGTGCCGGACAAGTAAGTCAGAATACGACTGGGAAATTAACTCTGTCATTTATGCTAATTCCGAGATGATATAGTTGTTAACGATGGGTGGCTGTCACGGAGTAAAGTCCTGCTTCTCCCGTCTTTGCATGACCCCCGCTAACGACACCCACACAGTTTATTTCCCAAATCGCACCGTACTTTTCTAATACGCAAGGCCTATCAGATGCCCAAGCCGGAGGCCATATCGCCCCTTCGAGCTTCGGCAGTGCTCTGGGTAACCTCTTTGCTGGTCAGATGATCAAAAGGTATACGGACCTGTTCCCTCTTGCATTCCTCGATTCCTCGATGCCTCGCTAACGTCGAAAATCCGTCCCAGATTTGGAAGCTACAAGAAGCTTTCGCTGACTGCCCTCTTCCTCTCCATCGCCACGTCGCTGCTGATTCTGGTCCAATGGTCGCATCCCATCGGTACGTACGTCCGTCTGACCTGCACCCGAACGGCCACCCTCGGACTTTCGCGGAGTAATACTGACGCTCCCACTCCCCAGGAGTTCTCGCGGGCCTAGCCGTCTTCCCGTTTGGTTTCTTTGGCGGCATCATCCTCTCGACGCAGTTCATAGGCCTCTACAACTGCGCCTCGAAGCCTGAGATGGCCACCGCCATCGGCATGTACTACATGAGCCAGCAGATCGGCATTGCGCTGGGCATCAGCTGCACCTCGAGCCTGCTGAAGCGGCAGTTCCAGGCGACGCTCGAGCAGCGCCTCGTCGGCATCCCGCACTACATGGAGGTAAAGTAAAAAAAACTTTCCATTCCATCCGGGGCCACGGACGGGCTGGGCTGGGCTGGGTTGGGCTAACTAATCTGCCTCTGTGTCTGGCGGTTCGATCAGATCATCAAGAAGATCCTGACGGACTCTTCCGTCGTCGCGGCCCTCCCCGCGAGCGTCCGGCTGCTTGTCGCCCGGTGCTTCATGGCGAGTTTCTGGGTCGTGCCTGGTATGTCTTGCTCTTGCTCTTTTTCAATCTCACTCCATAAATATACTTCCCCCTCCCCTCTACCTCTCTTCCTCCCTCCCTCCATGAGTTGGACCCGTCGCTAACTTCCTCCCCCCTCTCTCTTGCACCAGCATTCTCCATCGCGACCCAAGTCTTCGCCGTGCTCCCCATGGCTCTCGCCCGAGAGCGCCGCGCGGGTGATCGCGGGAAATCAGAGACGGAGCAAGTGGCTGTTTCTGGGGCTGGGATAGATGCGTAGGCGTAGGCTGGCGGGCGGGCGGGTCATGAGGACGGGCTGGTGGTATGGGATTTGTTGTTGATTGGAGGTTGGAGATGGGGTGTTGAAACGCAGGGGTGGAAAGGGGGCAGTGAGGGGAGGGGAAACGTGGAGAGAGGCAGAGATGAATGTAAGATTATTGTCGTACTGCATGGGAATGGCGGGGGGGCTCAAGGGGGGAGAGGGGGAGGGGGGAGGGGGGAGAGGGAGCAGTCTAAACTGAAGGCCTTTGTATACTGTTCTACGAACGTGGCTTAATATTTATCCTTTTATCGTCATCTTTCAATTCTAATACATTTGGGGGGGGGTTTTTTTTTCTTTTTTTTTTTCATAGCGGCTTGCTTGCCTGGTTGCTTGATATAATATAAAGCAGAGTAAGTAAATAGGCAAATAAACAATGGATTCCCACTTACGATCTTGGACTTTTGCTTTCTTTATCTCTTTTATTTCTTTCCCTCTCGTTGTCTTATAGTGCGGACAAAAAAGTAAAGAAAATCAAAGCGAATGAGAGCGCTGAATATTTGTAGAGCAAATATTCAATTAAGATTTAATTCTTCGCTCCTCGCTTCCCTTGGCCTCGCTTACCTTCGCTTATCTTACCTTACCTTACCTTACCTTACCTGCAGATTCATTTGATACCAAGCCAGCCAGCCAGCCAGCCAGCCCGTACACCTCGTTCGTTCATTTGACCACCAGTACCAGTTGGCTGGGTCAGCTGTTCTAATCTTTTTCCTCTTCTTTTTTCGGGGGGAGGAGGGGTGGGGGCTTCCGGGCCTGGAAAGATCTAGAGACTTTGAATGAACCAGTACACATCGAGCATTGCGTTACATTTACCACTGCGTAATTGCACAATTGCATGATACTGGAGAGTATTTATGGCAGTTCACATGCTAAAATTCTCATGCCGCTCGGTCACGTCCACACTGGTCGGGTAACAGCAAACGCCTCGGGTGGCTTATGGGCGACGAGCTTTGGGGTTACAATAATCAGTAGTTGGGGTGAATCGTGGAGCCCAAGCCCGGGGAGATGTGCTCGTAGGAGGGCCTCGAGCGAGCGGCACTTCCCTCTGAGACGTGGATTGTCTGTAGAGAGCCAGGATACCTGCAGAACGCATACTGCTATGCTCGTCATTTGGCCTCTTTCGTGTGATTCTCATTCTCGGACCCCGGAGGAGATTGACGAAGAGGAAAGGGAAAAAAGAGACGCAGGTCGCTTGACACGGGTGTTTTTTTTTTTTTGCTTCTATCGATTTAGCCGACTGTCTGGTGTAGGACTCCAAAGTGGCATAGCAAAAAGCTGCTATCATTTCTGAGCGAGCACTGAATACTGCCCAAGATACCGTCTTCTTCTCTCATTCGGTCAACCGGTACTATAACTTGCAACCTTGACAAGTTTCAGAATGCAATTCTCCTTTCCACCCATATCTCCCTTCCCGGAGCTGATCGAGCTGGAACATCGAAACCCCGAGAAGCTGGTCCTCTGGGACCACTCCCTGGGAATCACGGCCACCGCTGGGCAGCTGTTGTATAGCATCGCGCGGTTCCGCGAAAGAGTGCAGGCTGCGATCCTACAGAATGACATGTACCAGGGGAGGGCGGAGAGGGACGACCGATTCATCTTCCTGATGGCACCACCTGGGTGGGAGTACGTCGTATCCATGCTCACCACCTTCTCCCTCGGGGCAGGAATCTCTGCTCAGTGTAAGTCGTCCACAGCAACATGCAGCAAGCAGCGAGATGGGGACGAGGAAGTAAGCTACCGTTGCTGATACGGGTCAAACCGCAGCGGTCGTTATCAGACCGGAGGACATGAAGCAGTTGATGAAACTCGCAGATCCACTCGCCCTCCTCTACGCACCCGCTCTGTCGGGAAAGATTGAGGCCATCAAGAGTGTGTGTGCTGAGGACTACAGCGGACTCAATCCCAGACTTCCCTACGTGGAGATCCAGACGGATTATCCCGGCGGCTTGGGGTCTAACACCTATAAAACAGAGCCCACGACCGAGTCCACCGGTTCGCAGACCTGTTCGCTGTTCTTCACCTCGGGCACGACCGGGAAGCAGAAAGGCGTCGTGCACGCCTACAAGGCCCTTCTTGCATCCGCACGGGAGCGCATTGAAACGTGGACCATGAGCGAGAACGACGTGATCCTCATCACCAAGCCGGGCAACTGGATGGGCGGCATCTTTGGGATTCTCCCGAGTCTGATCTCTGGAGCCTGCCTGTGAGTGTCATGGGACTTCTTCTGGGGGAGGGAAACATGGTGGATATTGCATACTGACTGAATTCGTGTAGAGAAACCTGCGCCGGCAATTTCAACCCCCAATGGTTCTGGGAGCGCATCCGTCAAGGGGGCGTCAGCATTTTTGATATCGCGCCTACCGGTTACGACAGGCTTGAGCGGTACTTTGACGAGAAGATAGCCGTCCTCCCTCCGGCGGAACAGGAGCCATATGTCCAAGGCATGGCCGCAGCGCGCGTCGCAGGCGTCACGGGATCCCTACTGACAACACACACGCAGAAGAAGTGGACGGAGTTCAGGAATGGGAAGCCACTGTTGAACCTGTACGGATCGACGGAGGTGACGCTGATATGCAACATGCGCTGGGACGATCCCAACTATCCGGATATGTGCTCAGTTGGCCCATCGGTGCCCGGGGTCGAGGTCAAGCTCGTCGATGGAGAGATGAGGCTCAAAGCCCCCACGATGTTCTCCCGGTAATATAAAGAGCACACATACATATATCACTCACTACCCTACCCCCAACGTCCTCCGATCTACGGCTGACAAGTAGGATGATTGATGAAGTTACATCTCTGACGACCCGACGCATTACGAGCGCGCGTTCGACGAGGAAGGCTTCTTCAAGACCGGCGACTGCGTCGAGAAGGTCGGGAACTGCTACGTCCTCCACGGCCGAGCCAACATCGATGGTCTGTCTGACACACACACACACACCCATCTCTCTCTTTCCCAACATTTTTGTTTATCATTTTTATGAAATCTCATCATCGTCATCATTATCAGCTAACTGACGTACTTAAATATTAACCAAATTTTTTTTTTTCCAGTGCTGCATTTCTGGGGCTTCACATTACACACGGGCGAGATCGAGAATGCCCTGCTCTCCCTCCCCTACATCGCCAACGCCATCGTCTTCCCCATCCACGACCCGGAGTACCAAGAGCGGGCAGCAGCCGTGCTCCAGCTCAAGCCGGCCTTTCCGCGGCCGCCGCCGGGACTGGAGACGCTGCGCCGGGACCTGGCGGAGGAGACGGGCCTGTTTCAGTTCAAGCAGCCCACGGCCGTGTACTGGCTGCAAGACGGCGAGGCGATCCCGCACACGGCCAACGGGAAGGTCTCAAAGGTGGAGGCGCGTGAGAGGTTCTACGGCGGCGCCGGCGCCGACTGGCGATGGAAGCGAGGGGTCGAGGTCCTGGATCTGAATGCCTTGGAGTACTGGCGTATGGGTGGACAGTGCTGATTGCATTCATTCATGATCGCGATCCCAAAATTTGCTAAATCGGGGCTCCTAAATACACATACATATATATGCATACATGTATATCAGCACAATAGCAATCTACCTGTTAAAAAACAGGCACGAGCTGTCTCGCTATCCATAGTCCGATTTTCGCAAACAAATAAACAAAGCCCCACTTTGTGGAAAAAAAAAAGATGCTACAATCACTCAGCAAAGTCATCCATTCATTCAATATCAACTAAAAGAAAGAAAGAAGCGTTGCCCGAATACCTTTTTCAAATTCAAAAGATCTATTTACCCATCTAGCTTGTAAATAAAGGTAAACCGAGCCGAGCCGAAGCGAGCCGAGGCGAAGCGAAGGAAAGCTGCTAGTACAAGCAAGGAAGGAAGGCCAATTATCTTAGCACATGTCCATACCTGGATGCATTAAGAGGTAGGTAGGTAGCAAGGCGGTGGATCCAAATTTGAATTTATCTGAGACTTTGGTCTAGTTAAATCAAGTTAAGAAGGAAGAAGGAAGGAAGGTGGTGGTTTGTTACCTTGTGAATTATTATGTTCGGGGGTGGGGCGGGAGACGAGGGATTGGGATGTACGATATGGGATATGGGATATGGAAAGTGGCTTTGACGTTTATATTATTCGATATATATTTGTGATTGGTATTGTATTTCAAGAAGAATGGAGACGAATGAAGAATCGCTTCGTAAATTTGGAAATAAGTTGGTGAAATCGTTTGCTCGGTCGTTCATTTATTCAGTGTTTTATTTAAATTATTTTGTATAGCTGTGTGTATATGTATACTTACCAGCATATACCCACTCCTCGCCGAGCTCCCCCCCCCCCCAAAAGTGAATAAACACCCCAAAAAATTTATCTATTACAAGTGAAGTGGAAGGAAAAGACAAGACGGAACGATGAGGATACCTACCAACCTACCATTGCTCGCGTAGCGCAGTCAAGAGGGAGGTCCAGGAGCAGGGAGATGGAATTTCAACTTCTACCTACAACTAGCAGGAGCCAGGACACGACCTAGGTAGGAGAGGTAGGTCCCTAGTCGGGAGGTGGGAGACAGGCTGTACGATAAGGTGGCTCAGCAGGTAGGTATTCAGGCTCCCTTGTATATTTTCAACAGCAAGGTCCTGCCGGTGGAGATGACAGGAGTACAGCGGGAGTTGAATCAGCAATACTTTCAACTCATCACCATCAAGTTGGGACAGTCTCGCAAGTAGCCAAGAGTGCAAAAGTAAGTTGCTAACTAGCTTTAGGGAACTAGAGCATGTCCCGAGACGGTGATGAAGGCTGAAAAGTGTGTGTTGGGGGGCAATTGCCTATTCGCTGAAAATGTATGAGCATTAGCCAGGAAAAAAGGGCACCTTGAAGGTCAATATCTCTCAGGACGCCATGACCTTTGGCCAAGAAACCCAAGGCACCTTATACCTGGTGCCTGATACCCACGCTGTGCCAATATAAAGCAAAAGGTATAGTGGCATCTCAAGGAGCATCAGGGCTCGCCCAAGAGCCGGGCCGTGATGTCTCCCATGTATGCCTCCTCGAGCTCGTAGTCCTGCCCATCGTTCCTGTCGATACTGACGAAGAGGAATGCAGCGACCACCGAATCTAGCTCGAACCCCATGGCAACGAATCTGTCAATCAGGTCTCTGTTGTACCCTTGATATCTAGAAAATGTCAGTCAATATCTAAAGATTCGCCTCGAAGAACATACCTCAAAGCCAATTGCCGCTCCTCCTCTTCTTGACTCAGAAATTTCTGAGACTTCGGCTTGGCTAACGTCTGCGAGGCTCTCGTAGCATCCCAACTCGTTGACGTGGGCGCCGAAGCATGCTTGACAGCCCACTCTCGCGCAACCTGCTGGAATTGTTCGGGGTTATTCATGAGCATACGGGCCACCTCTGCGTCCTGCGGGTCTTTCGGTTCGGGTGTGCTGAGGAGGGATTGGAGAGAGAGGAGGGCGGATTTGATAGTGAGAACCGGTGACCAGGCTGTTCCTAGGGTATCCAGACAGATAGCTCCCTGCAAATTATAAGTACCGCACCGCAATGCTGTAGAGTCGAAGGAGTTCCTACCGTTTGGCTGCTAACATTCGGGTGCCACAGCTTGGTGATGAACTTCATGATCGGAGGCTTGAAGGGATATTCGTTGGGGATAACGATATTGACCACGTATGTGCCGCCCTCATATGGCGTGTCTGGAGGCCCCGGAAATGAGGCATGAAGGTGCGTCAGGTCTTGCCCATCTGCTGCTTCGCAGAGGATCTTAGACTCCGCATCGTTCTGGATATCTGCCATCTCCTTGGCTACTCGTCGAAGGCGGTTCGATGCCATGGTTCCTTGGGTATTAGGCTGCGGGTGTTTCGGCGAGGCTGGGAAGAAGTGGATGGAAGAGCGTTAAGAGCAGACTCGAGGTGTCACAGACAGTGTGGCCAATGAGTGGTGAACGACGCTGTTGATGAGCAACGGCGGGATTGTTTGATGGGTACGACCAGGACCTGTGAAGTGTTAGAGGTTTGCTTCTAGTTCTGAGAGTAATTCATGTATTATATTACAGCCGCAGTCCAAGGAGAGAGAATTTGCTGGCAAGGCAGACACGGAAAGCCTTACCTCCTTGCCTGAGGGCTGTGTTGGGAGTTGGTGGGGTACTCGGTGCGTCGAGGATACCTAGTTATTATGCGGGATGTTCTGGTTGAAGAATTGTATTACTTTTGAAGAGTTGTAAGAGATCTCTCAAGTGGCTACCTGCACTCGAAATTCTCTGCCTGGTCTGGTCTGGTTGTGATGTGTTGAGTTGCGTTGTACGTGGTTCCAATAGTACGGTTTCTATAGAGTCCGTCGAGGAGTCGCTCTGTTCGGGTCTCGGGTTAGCTTCGGGTAATCCATGTCTCGAGGAGCTCTGACCACGTGCTCTTGGATGACTAAGCCCCACTCTTGGCGTTCTGTCCTCCCACGCGCGTCTCTGGCGCCTGCTCTGCGCAGCTGCTGGCGAAGCTCAACGGTGCTCGAACCTCACCACCATCAACCTCCTCACCTCATATCACCACAACCAACCCCCTCCTATCCACAGACCTTATAGGTCTTTTCGAATCTCAAATCCTCCGCCTTTACAAAGTGACTCCCCGGGAACGCTGCAGGCACGATGGTAAGCTCCTTCTGTTGATGCCCAACTGAGACTGAGAGGCGATGTTGACAACGTACGTAGGGAGCTAATCAGTCCGGGCTCGGAGGCGCCGGTGGCCAACCTGGCGACAACAAAGATGAGAAGGATAAGAAGGTATGGGATAGCTAATCGTGCGAAGCCCCGGCGATGGTGGTGCTAATGCTCCTCTCCAGAAGGAGAAACCCAAGTACGAGCCACCTCCACGCCCAACAACCAGGATCGGGCGCAAGAAGCGCAAGGCAGGTGGCCCAAATGCATCCGCCAAGCTGCCCGCCATCTATCCTACCTCCCGATGCAAGCTGAGATACCTCCGAATGCAACGAATCCACGATCATCTGCTGCTGGAGGAGGAATACGTCGAGAATCAGGAGCGGCTGCGAAAGGCAAAGGCTGTGAAGGCAGGGGGCGCTCCCCTTGCAAACCAAGACCCAGAAGCTGCGGACAGAAATGCCGACGAGCGGGGACGGGTTGATGATTTAAGAGGCAGCCCGATGGGTGTGGGAACTTTGGAGGAAATGATTGATGATGACCATGCTATCGTGTCCAGTACCACCGGCCCCGAATACTACGTCTCCATCATGTCTTTCGTCGATAAGGATCTATTGGAGCCGGGGGCGAGTGTTCTGCTTCATCACAAGTCCGTCTCGATCGTTGGTGTCCTCACTGATGATGCCGATCCTCTGGTCACGGTTATGAAGCTGGATAAGGCACCTACGGAGTCCTATGCAGATATCGGTGGCCTGGAGTCTCAGATTCAAGAAGTCAGGGAGTCAGTCGAGTTGCCACTTCTACACCCCGAGCTGTACGAAGAGATGGGTATCAAGCCCCCGAAGGGTGTCATTCTGTATGGTGCTCCAGGTACTGGAAAGACTCTGCTCGCAAAGGCTGTTGCAAACCAGACGAGTGCGACTTTCTTGCGTATCGTAGGTAGCGAGTTGATTCAGAAGTATTTGGGAGACGGGCCCCGGCTCGTCAGACAACTCTTCCAGGTATGAATTATAGACCCTCCTTGGCTCACACTATTTGCTAACCAATCCCAGGTTGCTGCGGAGAACGCTCCATCCATTGTCTTCATTGATGAAATCGACGCCATTGGTACGAAAAGATACGAGTCTACGTCCGGAGGGGAGAGAGAGGTGCAAAGAACCATGTTAGAGCTGCTCAACCAACTGGATGGTTTCGATGATCGTGGAGATGTCAAGGTCATCATGGCCACAAACAAAATCGACACCCTCGATCCAGCCCTCATCAGACCTGGCCGTATTGACAGAAAGATCCTCTTCGAAAACCCCGATCAAGTCACCAAGCGCAAGATCTTCACTCTGCACACATCAAAGATGTCTCTCAACGAAGACGTCGATCTCGAGGAGTTTATCAACCAGAAGGACGACCTTTCAGGTGCGGATATCAAGGCTATTTGCTCCGAGGCTGGCCTGTTGGCGTTGAGAGAGCGTAGAATGCGGGTCCAGATGGCGGATTTCAGAGCGGCGAGAGAGCGCGTGTTGAAGACGAAGAGCGAAGGCGAGCCGGAAGGATTGTACTTGTAGACAGGGGTATAACGAGGGGTGGGTAGGTGGATAGATAGACGAGCGCTTGCTTCAGTTCGTCGCACGTGTATTCTAAAAATTAATATGCATCGACCTTCCACCGCTTCGTTCTGTCATATCTCCTGAATTCTCGCCTGAGTTCTCGAAACTGTAACCTTGATCTTCCATTTGATTCCTGGGTATACCTCTACCAGAGCCTGGGACCCTTGCTTGGTTGGCTCTGTTATTGTATCGTTTATAAATATATACATACCTATATATCATATATATCCGTCCACCATCTTATCTCTTACTATCTGGGGGGCTATGATTCTTTACCTATACGAGGTGCCTTTTACGAACCTTCAGCTTTTTCTTTCTTTTTCTCTTGCGGTAGAAAGAGAGATAGAGAGTCTAAAGAGCCGAGATTAAATCATCGATATGCGACGTCTCTTCGAAGAAATTTTCTTTTACCGGCGATTCCGAACCTCCTTTCTCTTTTTTCTCGAATATTACGCCGACTACGATCTATACCTGACGGGCATACCGATTGAAAAGACTAAGAGGATTTGCGATAGAAAAAAAACGTATATAAGAGATAAGATAGGAAAAGCTTAGTTCGATTGATCGAAAATACGGTATTGCGCTTTCGAAAAAGCGTTTTGCAAATATACCGGCTTTATTTAAAAGCTACGAACGCGAGCTTTCTTAGCTTTACGACGAAAGAGAACGATGTTTATATTATACGGATCGAGGCCGCTCGTAAAGCTATACGTATTCGATAGTTATCGAAAGAAAACTCGACGCATAGCACTATGAATTGCTTTTAAGAGGTTTATAAGTATTCAGTTATTTAACGAGAAGTTTTCTTTAACGTGGTTTTTATTCTCGATTAAATAGTACTTTATATATAATTCCTTTACTTAATACGTCGCCGTACTTTATAAGAGGTCCTCAAGGTCTAAGCATTGCGTTTTAGATACCCGCCCGACGTAAATAAATATAATAACAACAACAATAATAAATCTCCTAGTATCTAAACTTCCGTGCGGTATTTGCTTAATTTTCTCGTGCTATTATCCCTCTCTCTCTCACCCCCCCCCC